AGGGATGTCAGTTTTTGTCGAGATTTTTCTGCATCAGTTGAATGGCTCTGTAGTTATCCTTGACTCTGTTTATATGCTGTATTATGCTCATCATTTCCTGGAATGAATACAACTTTATCATGATGTAGGATCTTCTCAATATGTTGAATTCAGTTTGCAAGTCTCTTATTCTTATTAAAATCTTTCACATCTGTGTTCATCAAAGAATTGGCCTTTAGCTGTCTCCTCCTCTTTTCTCATCTGGTTTTGGTATCAGGTGATAGTATCTTTGTAAAATGAGTTTGGAAATGTTTCCTCCCTATTTTTCTTGGAAAAACCTCAGAAGTATTGATGTTTGTTTTTTAAAGGTCTGGGAGAATTCATCAGCAGATCTTTCTGCTCATGGACTTGGGGGCTGTTTTATTAGTTTTCAGTCTTATTGATCATTATTGTTCTGTTCAGGGTTTTTTGCATCTTCCTAAGTCACTTGTTGATAGATCTTATGTGTCTAGAAATACATTAATTTCTCCTAGTTTTCAAATTTATTAGAGTGTGACTTTTGAAAAGAATCCCGTTGATCTGTATTTCATGCTACCCTCTGTAATATCACCTTTTCATTGCTAATTTTATTGGTGTCCCTTCTTTCTTTTGGCTAGTTTTGTGAAAAGTCTGCCCATCTTATTTATTCTTTCAGAAAAGAACTCTTTGCTTCATTGACCTGTTACATTGTTCATTTAGTTTCTATTTCATTCATTTCAGCTTTGATCTTTTTTTCTCCGTTAATTTTGAGATGGGCTTGCTCTTGTCTTTCTAAGGATTTTAGCTGTATTGTCAGGTTTTTTATTTGGGAAATGATTTTTTACACTTATATATTTACTTGTGTAGGGGGTGGCACATCTCATGGTATACATGTGGAAGTCAGCAGACAACTTGTAGAAATGGCTTCTTTTCTGCCATGCTACAGGTCCTGGGGATCAAACTCGGGTCTTCAGGCTTGCTGGCAGGTACCTTTGCCTGCTGAGCCATCTCATGAGTCCTCTGACTTATTACTGTAGGTATTCAGTTATAAACTGCCTTCCAAGAAGTACTTTCATCGAATCCCACAGGTTCTGGTGTGTTTGTTTTCACTTTCATTTACATAAATATTTCTAATTTTACAAACTATTTGGGGAGAAACTTTTTTCATATTTAGAGCTCTACTCCATTTGAAATTCCCGTGCGTGAGATGAGGAGTGGAGTTTATCACTTTCCAAATGGCTAACCAGGCCCCATTTAGTACTCTTCACCACAGTAAATCTGAAACCTCACCTTTCTGAAATACTACACATTTTTAAATTACTCGAGTCCAGATTTATTATTATGTTAAATTAGCTATCCACGTGCCATATGCTAGATGCTTGCAGGTTCTTTCCACATTGAGAAGGAAGAGTCCTCCTGAAGCACTTCCGAGCAGTAATTCTGTAGCAATCTTCGTTAACTGTTCATCTTTCCATATGAATTATAAAATTGATTTGTAGTCTGCATCAACACAAAAAGCTCACTGGAATTCCTATCAAATTGAATATTATGAATTATAGTCTGTGAGGCATGTTCATTACACTGAGTTGTTCTAACCAAGGAGGGAAGACACCTTTTCATCGGTTGACCTCTATGTTAATAATATATATGTTATGTTTTGTCCGGGTTTTCTTATTGGCAAGGAACATTCTGTATTAATATTATTCCTAAATATTTTGTCTTAATCCAGTGTTCCCCAGATCGGAGTAACCAATCAATCGGGTGACACGACTCCCTTGTGAGAACTGTGACCCAGTTGATAACGGTTATTGGGGTGCTGGGGTTGCAGCTCCCTGTGGAAGTGTTGGCCAGCATACACAGGTCCTAGCTTCAACCCCTAGCACTGCAAAAACAAAAAAGTCACTCTGAGCACTGAAGGTGTGAGGAGGCAGGCTTACTGAACTCTAGTTCAGGTATAGCTGGCGCTACAGAACATGTTGTTCTGATGGTTTGTTTTCGCTTTCCCAAAGTTCAGCAGAACCAACCCCTTCCACAAAACCCTGGTGTTTATTGCATGTGGCTTCATGTTAATCCAATGAAAAGGTTTTTATACTTACATCACCACTCTTAGGAAAAGTAGTTTCAGATTATCTGGTATAACAAAAAAGAAACACAAGCTCACATTCTGTCTTTTGTGGGGTTTTTTTTTTCTGTTTTTAATTTATATATCACCATTTTCAGTGAGTGAGAAAAAAACTTGCAATTATGGAAAGGTCCTGAGGTAGCAGTTTAAGAGCACACACTACTCTTCCAGAGCACTCAGTCCAGTTCTCGACACTCACATCAGGCAGCTCACAACTGTTTGTAACTCCACTTCGGGGGATCCAGTGCCCTCTTCTGGCTTCCACAGGCACCTGCACCCATGTACGTGTACACACACATACACACACAAACAATTAAAAATAAATCTTAGAAAACCAGAGCAGTGTGCAGGAGGGAGTGTCGGGGGAGGATAACTAATACTGTAAAGACTTTTGAAAATATCATATGAAAACTTGCTCCTGGAGTAGCTTCCTAAGATATATACATACACATACATAAAAGGGTTTAAGTGGCATTACCCTATAGCAGGGTGACAATGCCTCCCAGATACCATTGGCTATCAAATAAAAAGTTCGGTGCCAAGTATGGGTTTCCTGGAGTTGTTGGTCCGTGAGGCAGCATAGATACCACCCCCTCAGAATGATTACAGCTACTGCCATTTTTCTTGGCTATCAGAATTTGAGAGTCTGACCCTGTTGCTGAAGACCATCTACCTGTGTCATGGGACACGGGGAAATTTAACTGCTACTGATATGGAAGTTTCATCCCTACTGGATAACTTTCATAGTGCTGTGGAGTTCTATGCACACTATCAGGGGAGAAAATCATCAATAATCTTACCTAGGTATGAACCCTGCAAGCTACATAACGACTGGCCTGGCAAGATATGCCCACTTGTGCAAGTGTGGCATGAAGTTATGGAAGGAACTAAATACTTTCTGCTTGGACTTAAAGTCCACTCCACGAGATGGAACCCATGACTGGCACCATTAGCTGAGTCAAAAACATGTCACTGGCTGAATCATTGGCCCTACAGAAGAACCTAATACTATTAAGCTGCTAAATCGACCACAGTAATAAACTTTTAGCCCCCTGATTTCTTATCTTCATACCTGTGTTATTAATGCATTTCTCAACTCTCAGCAGAGAATCTTCTTTTTGCAGTAAATGGAAATTAATATAGAGACCCACATAAAAGGGGGCATAAAGAGTGTAAGAGTCAGGGGAGGATACATCTTGAGCAAAGCAGTGTGTGCCCCACACGATAGTACAGCTGCACACGTGAACTCGCAGCTATGGATGTACGCACAAGACTTTCACAGCATGGCGGGGAAGGGGCTAAAGAAGCCCCACCCCTATCTGAGAAGTTACTGGCAACTGCTGACTGAGAAGGGGAGTCTTCAGGGGCATGGGTCCTGGGAGGCTGCTCTTGTTCCAATAGATAGTCCCACACCCGTGCACATGCACGCAGCCCTCAATGGACTCAATGGGTGTGGTGACTTGAACGAGAAGTGTACCCCACAATCTCGGGCATTTGAACACTTGGTCCCCATTTGGTAGTGCTGTTTGGGAGGTTTGAGAGGTACGCCCTTGCTGGAGGAGGAAGTATGTTACGGGGCGAGGGGAGGGGGGGTGAGCTTTGAGAGTGAAAAGCCTCTTTACTGCGCTCTCTACTCCATGCTTACAAAAAAGCATGAGCCCTTGGCATCCTGTCCCAGCCACCATGCCTGCCCCTTCTTACCATGCCTCCACTCCAGCATCATGAACTCGTAACCCCTCTGGAGCCATAACTCAAGTCTCTCTTCCTCAAGTCCCCTTTGGCCATGATGTTTTATCACAGCAACAGAAAGGAACTAGGACAGTGGTTATTAAATTTTCTTTTAAAAAGACAGAAACACATAAAGTTGGGGAAGAAAAGTTTGCTGGATAGGGGAGGGGCTGGAGGGGAGGGAACGGGGTTGGATTTGATCAAAACACATTATACGCATTTATGAATATTAAATATTTTTAAAGAAAACTACTGAGCTAAATGGTTGATCCATATGCTAGTGTCCATTTCTCAAATGAAATTTTTGTAACTTTTGCTGTGAGATGACTCCATACCACACACAGATACATGTACACACGTTACTTTCAGTTCAGACCATTAGAGATGCTGAGGCAAAGGGGCTTTGAGGTAAATGTGCTAAGGTGGCCTGGTCCCCAGGTATTCCTAGCCATCCCTGCTCAGGCTGATCAGCATATCACTGGGGTCGGGATATCTCCAGGTACATAGTGGGGCCAGTAATACCCATTTACCATTCTTTCATCCATCCTCCCGAGACTCTGACTCCCCCAAACTGAAATCCTTTTTGTTTCATTCTGGTGAACCCTCACCTGAGCCAGTAAAGCATCCAAGACCTGGGGAGACTTATCCTATGGTAAATATGTGCTATCAAAGGGACCAGACTGGGACCAATCCTAGAGTAGGTATTTGTCAGAATTGGGGGCATTTGGGCTCTGAAGATTTAAAAAAAAATGGACTAAAGAAGCATTGCCTTGAGCTAGATATGAAGGTGGATGACCTCAGATCCTTAACTCCTGGCTGGAGGACTAAGGAAATTTGTGACTGAAGGGTGTGACACCTTGAACTAAATCACGGCGTATGGGCACAGCTAAAAAAGAAGGGTCTTTGAGATGCAGAGACGGAACAAATACAAATGCCCTTCAGTCTGTGCTAGGGAGGCTGAATGTGTGGTGAGAAGCCCTCTCATGACGGACACCAGAGAACCTTCTGAACGGTCAGGTTTAAGACAACAATATTACTCACTTTAAACAAACAGAATCCAGAATAAATGTGCAGCGAAATCCTCCATGGCTCCCAAGCGATTCAATACCCGGAATCCTCTACAGTAGATCACAACATGGCCCACATCTGGGTGTGCAGCTTTGTAGAGAACCAGTTTATTTAAAGAAAAGGTTGTGAAGTAGAGAGGACTGCGGTGTAACAAGCAGTCAGCTATCTCATGAGTGGTGAGAAAATGCAACTGTCCTCCCTCCTCGTGAGAAGAGCGGAGCATTTACTAGTGTTCTCCGCCCTCTTCACCGCTGTGGAGAAGGGAGAGGAGTGGTCAGGAAGACCCCTTATGGCAGGAGTTGATGGCTGGTCAACTTTTACAGATGTAGAGGGAATCGTGTTGTGTTGAATTGTTTTTGCTCTCCAAGCCCAATTCGTGTATTAAAGTTCTGATGATGTGACTGTATTTGGAGACCGAACATTTAAAGAGGCCCAAAAATTTATAAGGTGTGGTCCTAATCCAATATGAAGTGTCCTTATAAGACTGGAAAGGCTGGGCACAGTGGCACATACTTGCAACCCAGCACTGGGGAGTGCAGGTAAAAGCATCAGGTTCAAGGCCAGGCTTGGCTACATAGTGAGTTCAGGGCCTTCCTGGGCTACATGAGACCCTGTTTCAAAAGAAGAATGAAGGTAGGAAGGTTTGGGATTTGGGGGGAGAATGGGGAAAAGGAAGAGAAAGAACCAGGGAAGTACTATGGGAACCCTAGCAAATACAGAGTTTAGAACCAAGAGTGGGCTATTGTCATAACCTAAAAATGTCTTAGTAGCTCGGAATTGTACAACATGTGGCAGCTAGACCTGTTTGAGATGCAGGTGTAAGGTGATCCTGATGAGGTCTCAGGAATCAGGCATACCTAATTAAATTAATTAAATTTTGGTATTAAAACTGGTATCCTTGCTATATAGTGACAAGGAACTTGGCTGAACTGAATCCTAGTGTTTCGCAGAATGGAGGATTTATTGTCGTTATGATTAAGGGTGCGCACTGCCACAGCACATATGTGGAGGTCAGAGGATAAATTTGTGGAGTTGGTTCTCTACTTCTATGTGGATTCCAGGAATCAAACTCAGATCCTCAGGCTTCTGTGGCAAGTGCCTGTACCTGCTGAGCCATCTTGTTGGCCCCAAATGGAGGTATTTTAAGCAATGTAAGTACAAAATACTCACATGAGATTTCTACATGGATGACCAAACTATGGCCTTATTTGCCCTTACTGCATGAGGACAGAGATAAATTGAGGGGATTGTTGAGCAAAAAAAAAAAAAGATTAGAACTTTAAAATTTGGAAAATTCTCCCCTTATTCATATAGTTTTTTTTTAAAGCCATGAAAGTGTGTTTTGGAGGGAACAGTAGGTGGCTAGAAACCATTTCTAAAAGATTAGTGTGAGTGTAAACCACAGAGTCTGTCAGCCATCTCACCCAGCACTCTCTAGCCTGGATGGACAAGGAAAGAGACTGGGGCAAAACCAAGACAGCCTATAGGGCTTCTGAGATTCTAAAGAAAATATTAGTGGGGCTCCAAGCCACGAGCATGTGTTCATCCTCAAGAAACAGGGGGAGTGTAGGGCGGTGGTGGCACACGCCTTTAACCCCAGCACTTGGAGGCAGAGGCAGGCGGATCTCTGTGAGTTCGAGGCCAGCCTGGTCTACAGAATGAGTTCCAGGACAGGCAGGGCTACACAGAGAAACCCTGTCTCAAAAAACCAAAAAATTTAAAAAAAAATTAAAAAGGATAAAAAAGAGCTTGGTGTGGTAGCTCACACCCTTGGGGGAGGCAGAGGCAGATGGATCTCTGTGAGTTTAAGGCCAGCCTGGTGAAGAAAAGAAAGAGAGAGAGAGAGAGAGAGAGAGAGAGAGAGAGAGAGAGAGAGAGAGAGAAAGGAAGAAAGAAAAGAAGAAAGGAAGGAAGGAAGAAAAGAAGGAAGGAAGGAAGAAAGGAAGAAAAAAGAAAGGAAGGAAGGAAGCGGGAGGGAGGGAGGGAGGGAAAGAGAGAGAGAGAGAAAGAGAGAGAGACAGAGAGAGAGAGAGAGAGAGACAGAGAGAGAGAGAGAGAAGAAAAAGGGGGAAATGTGGTTCCAAATAAACTCATAAATCAGGATTACTACTAATGTGGAGTGAGGTCAAATGTGTCTCCTCAGTGTCCACGGCTCACACACCATTACCCGTCACCCCTGTGAGCCAGGGGACAGAACACTGTGTCAAATATTATTCTTGAGACTTAAGGTCCCACAGAATTTACCTTGCTAAATTTGTACCTGACACTGGGACCCATCATTCCTCAGGTCTTTCCAGTGTTTTCCTTTTGGAATAAGAATATCTAAACCTGTCTGGCCATTGGAATTTGGAAGCAAATTTCATGTTGGATTTCATAGGATTACAAATAGAAATATGGCTTACAGGTGAACTGGACTTAAAGCCCTTCCCATACTTGATTTAGATATTTATATTAGAGATTTTCAATTTAGAGTTAATGCTGGAATGAGTTAAGGATTTGAGGTCTAGGGATGACGTGAATGTATTTTGTATCTCCAAATAACAACTCTGGTGCTGTGGAGAAAGCCAGCTGTTGACTGAATCATATTCCCCACAATGTAAACACTGATGCCTCACCTCTGATGTGATATAACTTGGAGCAGGGCATTTAAAGAAGTTATCAAAGTTGAACAAGGTCCTCTGGTGTGGCCCTGTCTGGGAGGAACAGGCACCAGGAAAGCCTGTGCAAAGGAGACCCGGCCTGTGGAAGCACAGCATAACAGGAAGCCATCCACCAGTCAATAGAGAGGTGAGGCAGGAGCCACACCTGAGCCGGTCTGGGAGAGGACTCCCGGGTTCCACATACCTGGCAAAGTAAATTTCTTTTGCCTAAGCCTGGGGTATTTTGTTAGGGAGCCCTAGAAAACCAACACACACTGCTAACTGAAGAAAGTCAACCATACACCAACGATTCCATCAACAAGTGAGGACTTTCCCCCTATTCCATTTCAGGAAAATGGGACATTCATTCTCCAGTGACCTCTGCCAGCTTCCTGCTCCTGGAGAAAGGAAGGAACAGGACAGACAAACACCTCTGTGCTAGGAGCTGATGGCCACACTTATTCCTCCCAGGTCTGTGGTGGTGAGACCCCTACCCCACCCCGACCCCAGCAATCCCTGCACACATCGGCTTCTTCCCAGAGCGGGTCTGCTGATGTGTGTATAACAAGGACAGAGTTAAAGCCGGGGCCACGCCCAAACAGCTTTTTGTGGACTAGACTGAGTCCTCCAGACAGAGGTGAGGTGTGACATCCCATATCCAGTCCCTTACACACACGTGCAGTTGACAGGAAGCTCCTACTTAGAGTGTGTCCTCTGGTGTCGCGTGAGAAGAGACTTGAAGCCAAAGGCGCGCCCGCACTGGGGGCATGGGTAAGGCTTCTCCCCCGTGTGGCTCCTCTGGTGCCCGATGAGGTTGAACTTCTGGCTAAAAGCCTTGCCGCACTGGGGGCACACGTAGGGCTTCTCTCCCGTGTGTGTCTTCTGGTGCCTGGCGAGGAGGGACCTGAACTCAAAGGCTCGTCCACACTCAGGGCACTGGTAAGGCTTCTGCTCCCCATGGGTCCTCTGATGTCTGATGAGAGAGACCTTCTTTCCAAATGCATGCCCACACTCAGCACACAAGAAGGGCTTCTCCCCTGTGTGAATCCTCTGGTGCCTAATGAGATTGAACTTCTGCCTAAAACTCTGGCCACACTGGGAACACACATAGGGCTTCTCCCCTGTGTGTGTCTTCTGGTGCCCGATGAGGTTGAACTTCTGGCTGAAACCCCTGCCACACTGGGGGCACACGTAGGGCTTCTCCCCTGTGTGTATCTTCTGGTGTCTGGTGAGGAGGGACCTGAACTCAAAGGCTCGTCCACACTCGGGACACTGGTAAGGCTTCTCCCACCGTGCGTGGGTCCTCTGGTGTCTGATCAGCGTGGCCTGCTTTACAAATCCACGGCCACACTCAGGGCACAGAAAAGGTAGCTCGCCTGTATGAATCCTCTGGTGCCCGATGAGGTTGAACTTCTGGCTGAAACCCTTGCCGCACTGGGGGCACACGTAGGGCTTCTCCCCCATGTGTGTCTTCTGGTGCCTGGTGAGGAGGGACTTGAACTCAAAGGCTCGTCCACACTCGGGGCACAGGTAAGGTTTTTCCTCTGTGTGAATCCTCTGGTGCCTAATGAGGTTGACCTTCTGGGTGAAACTCCAGCCACACTGGCGACACACGTGGGGTTTCTCCCCGGTGTGTGTCTTCTGGTGTCGGATGAGCGTGCCCTTTTGGCCGAAGCGTTGGCCGCACTCAGCACAAACATAGGGCTTCTCCCCCGAGTGTGTGACCTGATGAGTGAGGAGCCTGGAGAGCAGCCTGAAGCCACGGCCACACACCGAGCACAGGAAGGGGTTGTCGCCCGAGTGTGAGCTCCACCGGTGCTGCAGCAGCGAGGCCTTCCGGCAGAAGCCTCTCCCGCACTCCGGACACACGAAGGGCTTCTTGTCCAGGTGAGTCCTCTGGTGGAGAAGGAGGTCTACCTTCTGGCGGAAGCATCGCCCACACTCCGGACATACCAGGGGTCTCTCTCCGGAGTGAATAATCTTCTTGTGGTTGTTGAGAGAGGATACATACATGAAGCCTCGCCCACACTCCCCACACACATATGGCTTCTCTCCGGAGTGTTTCCTCTGATGGACGGTGAGAGAGGCCTTCTGAGTAAACTGGTGCCCACACTCAGAACATGAGTAAGGCTTCTCCCCTCCATGCATCCTCTGGAGCTTCAAGAGGTCTGACCTCTGGCAAAAGCCTCTTCCGCAATCAGGATATCCATGATGCTTCTGAGAGCTGAACAGGCTTGCAGCAGCGTTAAGCCCTAATGGAAATGCTCCATGTATGACTGCTCCAGATTCTGACTCGTCGGATCCGGTCGACACTGTGCCTGCCTTCTCAGGGATCCCTCCTGGGGCCAGGTCAAGGTCTGTTCGTTTCCTGTTGCTGTCTACCCAGTACACTGCCTGCCCTTGACACGGGCTAAAGAGCGTCTTCAGGATCCTCGAAGGACTTGCTCTCTGCAACAGAGCATCGCTGCTGTCTCCCTCTTCGTCTTCTTTACTGCTAGAATAGTCTGGAGCTTCTGGCTGGAGGTTGCTGCCTGCTTGTGGGCTTGGGAAAGTCTGAGGGGGGTGTCCACTCAGCACACACACTTTGAGGACTTCTGGACTAGCAAAGGATATCGGGCAGGAGAGACAGGACTCTAATTCTGTCCTGGGTTCTGCTAAAGAGAAAGCAGTGGTTAGATTCAGAGACACCCATGGACAGTAACATTTCCCCAGCAGTCATTCCCGAGGGGTTCACACACTCCCCTTACAGGCCTATCTCCCGTACTCTACTGCAAATAGTCTTCACACAGCTCTGAACGTCAGGAAACCAAAACACTGAAAAGCTTCATGGGAAATGTCAGCATGTAAACTACTACAACTAGTCACTCATGGTGGCATGAACATCCACAAATACTTGCTTTTACTCAATGAGTTATTTCTTCATTGATTTTCTTTGTTCTATGAGGAAGTGACTAGTTTGAAGTCATCTCCCTAAAGGTTTCCCCAAATGGGAGAGGCAGTATAAAACCATCTTAGAGAACCACGTGTGATATTGAACTGAATGCTCCCTCACCCATAAGCAAACGAGGAAAACAAGCTGGGTCTCTCTTATCAGCGAGCAGGGATTCAGCAGTGAAGTGAGGCGCCATGGCCTAGACCGGCGACCCCTAAAAGGAATCTGACTCCAAGTAACCCAATTAATCTGAGACTTCCTTGGATTTTCAAGTCATAAGAGAGAAATGTTCCCCTCTAATAACCGTACTTGCCTAGGAGATAAATCAGTATACCTGTCCCACTATAATTGGTTCTTGTCTACTTGGAGCTGATTATAAAATCCAGTGAGCTCTGACTGAGGACTCAGAATGTCCAGCCTTTCTAGACCTACCTGATTCTTTATGACCAACACAGGTGAGACATATTTCATGAATCATCGGCAACAGGTCTCCTAACTGTTTAAGATTGCTGTTGGACCATAGTCAATTATTAATGTGCCACTTACATCCCCTTTCACAGTCCAATATCAAAAAGGAGTCATCACAAGGAACACATCCACACAGTCTAAAATACATACTGTGGAACCTTTTACCAGAGATGTTTCCTGAGCCCTGACCCGCATCAGTGATTTGTCTGACCTGACCTAAAATCAGAGTTTGGCATCCAGAGGGGTCACCACAAGAAAACCCACAGAATCAACTAACCTGGGCTCAAAGGAGTTCACAGAGACTGAACCGACAACCAGGGAGCCTGCATGGGGCTGACCTAAGCATTCTGCATATATGTCACGGTTGTGTAGCTTGGTCCTCTAGTGAGACTCCTAACAGTGAGAACAGGGGCTGTCTCTGACTCTTTTGCAGGCTTTTGGGACCCTACCCCTCATACTGGGTCACCTTGCCCAGCCTTAATACATGGGGGGAGGGGGTGCTTAGTCTCACTGCAATTTGATATGTCATGTTTTGTTGATACTCATGGGAGACCTGCCCTTTCCTAAACAGAAATGGAGGAGGAGTGGACTGGGGGTGGGAACTAAGCGGGGGGAGGGACTGAGAGGAAAGGGAGAAGGGAAAACTGTGGCCAGGATGTAAAATAAATAAAGAAATAAATACTTTTATTAGAAATAAATAAATAGATGGCCAATAAAGACTGGGGGGTGGGGAATAACTACCATGAAGCCCCCCCTTCCTAGCACCTAAGTCCCACTGTTCTTCCTCCTAGGAAAACTATTCAGTGAGCCAGCTCTCTGGTGTCCCTGCTGGTTGAACAAGCTCTTCTTTACAATTACTAATGCTGTTCCTCCCGGCCTTCCAAACTGTAGAAGTTAACTTTCAGCCTGGTCCCTAGACCTCGCCACCAAAGGTCCTACTGCGGTCAGTTTCTTATCAGGAAGTGTGTTCTAATTCAGCTCACTAAACTCATTTATTTTGGTAAGCTAGCTTGCCCATATTAACATAACTCTTGGCTATTGCTTGCATTTCTAGTTTTTACCAGATATTTATAGCTCAGTAGTAGAGAACTTGTTTGTCATCCACAAGGCCCTAGGTTCAATATTTGGCATCAAATAACACACACACACACACACACACACACACACACACACACACACACACACACACACAGAGTTTCTTTAATTCTTGAGTTTTTAACAGCTGAAATTGGGTATACAGTGCTGACTACTTGCCTGTGGTTTGAAGGAGGAAAAGGGTACCCCCTGCCCTGTCTTACCAATACCCCCACACGTCCTTTTGTGTCCTCAGCAGCAGGGGCAGGAACTGTTGTGTGCCTTGTGTAAACGTGGTGACTGATCTAAGCACAGCTCCCAGAGAAGCGCAGCACCTTCCCTCATAGCTCACTTAGCAGTGTAGTACTGTGGCAAATTTCAGCTGAAAGCAACTGAGCTTGCCTTCCTGAACATGAGTGACTCTCATCCCAGCAAGCATAGGCCTGAACACAACTAAAGACTGATCTTCTCCCAGTAAGAGAATTCCTCTCCTGAGTGCCTTCCTACTTAGAAATCATTCCTCAACTTCCCAACTCAAGTAAAAGCCTTGGTGCACATGCCTTGGAGCTGGAACTGCATCACTCCTGTGGAAATCCAGCTTGCTGACTACAAATCATGAGGACTGTCAGCCTCCACAACTGTGTGAGCCAATTCCCTACCTACAGTTAGGAACACCTCCATCCTACTGATACCGGTGCTGTCTTTCTGAAGAAAAAGAGATTTTTGGTACCAACAAGTACACATTTCTGTCACGTGGAAAAACATCGCAGTTGCTTCAGAACTGAGTGACAGAGGCTAGGGAAGTTGTGATGTACACACTGAAGGGGCCTAGATTGCCACTAAAGGGAGTGATGGTAAGAAATACGGAAAACAAGTTTCTGAACTGTACTCCAGTTTCTGTGGAAGAGTAGCACTTATACACAATGAAATATTTAGCTGAGATTTCTAAGCGAAGTATTAAAGTTGCAGCTTGGATTATCCTTACCACTTAATGGAACATGCAAGAAGAAATTAATTGAATTGTTAAGAAAAAAAAAGGAAGTTCTCAGCTTATGCATACTGGGAAGATAAGAAAGCTTGTCCTAAAGAGAACACTAAGAATGTCGCTAAACAGCCTTTTATGCACCATATAACCACAGTAATTGCAGAAGCCTGCAACGGACATGGGATTATAGCACCAGAAACACTGCAGTTGGAGCCAACAGAGAACAGGAAAACAGGACACGGTGAAGGAAGGCTGGCATACTTCTTGGGTTCCACGGCTCTGGACAGAAGAACTCCCACTTTTAGTATTACGGATTTTTTAGGTAAGGGGTCTCCATCACAGCACCTTCATCCATCTAGGTCATTACATCCTCTCATTTCCTCCTCCACTATCTTCCCTCCACCACCTCTATCTAGCTGGTTCTTTCCTCAACTGCTGCTTTCTTATTACATGTGTTCCACTACTTTCTCTATTTCCTACTTCTCTTAAGTGTCCTCCCCACCTTTATGATTGATACCCTGTTAAGCTTTGTCAAACACACACACACAGAGAGAGAGAGAGAGAGAGAGAGAGAGAGAGAGAGAGAGAGAGAGAGAGAGAGAGTGTTTTATATCTGGGTTCCATATATGAGAAGAAGACATACACTATTTGTATTTTAACTCTGGCTTATTTTGTTGAACATAATGATTCCCAGTTGCACTCATGTGCCTGCAAATCCTTTTGGTATATACAGGAGTGATGGAGCTGAGTCACATAATAGTTCAATTTTTAGTTTCTTGAGGACATGACATACTGATTTCCATAGATGTTGCTTTTGTTTAGATTCTCACTGGCAGCATGCAGAAGTTCCTCTGCCCCATATCCTCACTTGCACTTGCTGGCATTTGTTTTTGTTTTTACTGATGATAACCATTCTGACAGGGGTGAGATGGAATCCCAAGCACCGTTAATTCTCAGCTCCCTGATGGCTAAAGATTGAACACTGCTTCACACGTGTATTGTCCACCTGTATTTCTTCTTCTGAGAACTGTCTGGTCCGCTCACTTTCTAACTGGGTTCTTTAGTATTTAATTTTTCTAGCAGAGCCATTTTGATGTAAACATGCACTGTGCTTCAAAAAGGGGAGAATGACCCCCCAGATCAAATCAAAGTCACTTCCACCACAGACGTGAAGTCCACAAACTGAGGGGGTCATCGGACCTCAGTGCTTGGTTTCAGAGGGTACAACAGTGGTTCCGGGAAGGCATTCTGCTCCTGGCTGATGGCATGGGATGCGGCTTGGCAGAATCCTAGGAATGGAAGCCCTGCCTCAAGTTGGTGGGGGACCTGGCCATTGCCCGTGAGCCTGGGAGCAGAACAAGTCCAAGGGGATTATTTGTGAGCCTTGAGCGTTACTGGTATTTGTCTTCCTAGTTTGCAATTTACTTGGTGTTTATCACCCCACTCTTCCTTCTGTTAGTAGTAAACAGAAATAGCCTAATCCTAACACACAAGGCACAAAGAAAAGCCCACATGAGGGGAAGAACCACAGTAGACCTGTCGACATTTACCACTTGAAGTACAGAAAAACGTTACCCTCACTTAGGTCTCTTTATCTTCCATACTCTTATCATACCTTTTTTGTTTTTTAAAGGTAAACTTAAGATTTAATCATCAATAGGACCATTTAGAAGTAAATGACACTCTACTGTAGTGCCATTTTGGTTCTCTTCATTATTTTTTTCTCCTTTCCAATGCTCCTGCTTCAGGACTTCTCTTATTTTTAATGGTCTTTTTTTGTTGTTGTTATTTGGGGGTTTGCTTTTTGATCTTGTGGATGAGAGCAGGATTACTTCTTTTACATTTTCTTCTCTTTGAAGAATTTCCTTACCTACAGTTTAACATAGTATGTGTCACAAATTCTTTATTTCTATAGTGTCAATGTATCATTTTCCTTTCATTCCTCAAGGATAGTTTTGCTAGGTATAGAATTTACAATCCTTTCAGCACTTGAAGAAAATTCTTGCCATGTCCTCGTTGGCCTAATTAGTTCACATGAAAAATCCTCTATCAGGAAGGCATTTTTTTCTCATTGGCTGCCTTCCAGATTTTTTCCGTTTTTAGTTTCCAGAACTGTAATTATTATGTGTCTCAGTATTTATGCATATAAATTTATTTAATGTTTCTATGGCTTCTTGTATCTATATGTTTATATCTATTGCAAAATTTGATATGTTTTCAACCATGATTTTCTCAAATATTTTTCAGCATCTTTTTTGAATTCTGATGACATAAGTGCTGTTTTCTTGGTTTTTATCCCAGAAGTCACTGAAATCATTCTTTTTTCAGTCTATTTTCTTTCTTTGTTCAGATTTATGATATTTTATTGTTCTGGAATCAAGTCCACCAATTCCACTTGGATATAGTGGTGCACATATTTAACCCCAACACTCAGGAGGCAGAGGCAAGTGGATCCCTATGAGATCAAGGCCAGCCTGGGCTACAGAGTGAGACTCTGTTTTTTTTTTTTTGGGGGGGGGGGTTTGAGACAGGGTTTTTTTGTGTAGTTTTGTGCCTTCCCTAGAACTCACTTTGGAGACCAGGCTGGCCTCAAACTCACAGAGATCCACCTGCCTCTGCCTCCCAAGTGCTGGGATTAAAGGCATGTGCCACCACCACCCGGCACAACTCTGTCTTAAGACATAAACAAGTTCACAGATTCTATTCATCATTCCAACTCTATAGCTAAGCCCATCCAATGAGTTCATATTTTCCGTTGTATGTTTCAGTAACACAACTGCAAATTTATTTTTTACATAAACTACTTCTTTGCTGGTATTTTTATACTTTTGTTTCAAGTGCACTGTAATAGGTTGAAAATCCTTGGGATGCTTTTTTACTCAGTACTAGGGATTGAACCTATGACCTTGTACATGCTAGGCAAGTGCTCTATTCATGAACTATGCCCCTAGCCCTCTTTTTATATCTTATTTTGAAGGTCTCACAGTTGTTCAGGTTGGCCTTGGACTCACTCTATAACCCAGGCTTCCCTTGAACTTGCCATTCTCCTACCTCAGCTAAATGCTAAGTTCACAGTCCTGCATCCACCAGACCCTGAAGTCTAACCTCTGATCCCCCCTTCGTCAGCTGAATGTCACTGTCATCTTCAAGTTCCCTGGCTCTTGGTATGATGAGTGATATTTTTTATTCTATCTTGAATTGGCTTAGATTCTGGGCCCTATTTAGATGTCATTTTAAGAAGTACACACCCTATTTATGCTCAACACTAAGATACAAGTCAGTAGTTAAGTAAGTTATGATCAATATAAAGTAACTCTACTCACTAATAAAAATGAATTATTGATGTGCACCGCATGGATAAATTTGCAAGTAATAATGCTAAGTGTAGAAAACAGTTATATCCTGTATGAATCAATGGACATAAATTTTGGAAGATTCAAACAAATCTATAATCAGGGAAAACAGATTAGAAAGGAGGAGATATTATTGGCAGCTGATGGCTTCTGAGGAAGGGAGAGTCAGTCTCCTTTAAGGAGCAGGCCTGGTAGGTCTGCCACACTCCATGGATGGCCTCATACCCATGACTAGATGGGCAACGCAAACAGGACTTGTTGGGTTATATTTAAAAGGGAAGAAAAGGAGGACAGGAAGTTGGGAAGTGCTGGGGAGACCTGGAAGGAGTGAGAGGAGAGAAATGGGGGCGAATATAATCAAAATACATTGTCTGTGTGCATGAAATTCTCCAAGAATTAATAAAAAATACTCTGCTTTTTTAAAAGAAAGAAACAAGAGGACAAGGAGGGTTGGAAAGCAGAAGTTGTGGTAAGGCACATGGAAAGAGTGGGAATGAGGGACATGCTCACTGTGTCAGTTGTAACAAAACGTATTGATTTTCACTTTCAATACAGTTTATTATACCTTTAAAACATGCCTTATTTCTTAATACTCATATCTTAATAACATTTTATTATATGTTAATATGCCTCAGATGATAAAATTCTTTTACAAAGTCAAAATTTGATATAAAACATAACATCCATATGATTTATTTAGAAGGAAAAAACAAAAATAAGAGCATGGTGGTATACGCCTTTAATCTCAGAACTCAGGAGACAGAGGCAGACAGAGCTCTATGAGTATAAAGCTAGCCTGGTCTACATAGGGAGTTCTAGGCCAGCTAGGGCTACACAGTGAGAGCCTGTCTCAAAAAAATTCTTTAAATGTCAGTAAAGTAAAAATAAATGAATGAAAAAGGATAAGCCAGATGGAAATTTACCTATACATTCTAATATTCATATAAAATTATATGAATAATTACATATTTATTCATATAGGCCTAAATGTTTTAGGGAAAATTCTACAATTGTAATCAATAACAAAAGAGAAAAAAAAACAACTTAACTGAAAAGTGGGCAAATGTCTAAAGCAGTCAACTCTCTCTCTCAGAAGGGGGCACAGATCACATGAGAAGATGCTCATATTAGCTACCTACCCCATGGGCGTCCAAAAAGATGGGGGAATGAGGTCAGACAATACCAAATGTTGGTAAGGATGTGTCCAAAGAATTCTCACACTGCCACTAGAGTGCATTCTCTTACCTGCTTCAACACAGTTTGGCATATCTAATCCATCCAAGGCTACAAACATGTATGAACCAGCTTCTTCAGTCTGGCTATGATTCCTGCACACTTCCACAATGTCATAAAAGAGTACAGAGTGACAATGTTTAATTGCCAGGAACTGGGGGGGTGCACACAATGAGTGAAGAAATTTACAAACATGCAAACCACGTGGTATCTGAAGGCTAAAAGGCAAAGGCAGCTACAGAATGTGAACAGAGGAGGTGGAGAAGCAGGCCAGCCTGAGAAGGAACGAGCCTGCCCCCTGGTGGACAGTGGGCTCCTAGCCCACAGGGCTGACAGATTGCTACAGTTCTTCACATTTTGTTGTGATCTTGATTAAGCCATCACAAAGGAAACAAAGTTATGGGAATCTACAGGATGGGTGTGGTGTACAGCAGTTGCCGAGTCAAGAACAGAAACGGAAAAGCACTCAGCAGGAGCAGCCTAGTTAGTCTGGTAGAGGGGGTACTGTTTGGAAGATCAAAAGTGAGTCTGGGAAGAGGACAAGAAGAAACCTAAAGGTGCTGCTGGCACCAAGCAGAGAAATCAGGCGCCCTGATGAGGTAGAGCTCCAGAAGAGCCCTCTCCTGGTAAGCATGGGAAGGAGGGAGGCAGGAAGGGAGGGAGGAAAAGAGGGAGGGGATGCTACACAGCCTTCCCTGGAGCCCTGGGAGGAGAGCTCCCCCTAGCATGCCAGAGTAGACTTCCCGGCCTGCTGAGCTCCTCAGTGCCCAGCAGCATCATCACCTGCCCAGTCTTCCACTTACCTAGACAAAGGTCCAGAAGGCATTCACTGCCATCTCTCCAGGGCTCTGCCCCTTGTTCCAGCTGTGAGATGAGTTTGGGTTTGGAAAATGCAATTCCTAGTCGCAAGAAACAAAACCAAAAAGACCTTAGGCTAGCGGCTTAACTCCAGGGTAGTGTAAGAAATGCCACACACCCAGAAGGGAAGTTCAGAGATGGGAAAGAATACCAGAATGCTGAGAAGGAATGAACGAGGGCAGGGGATTCTGGGTCAGAAGCAGGGTGATCATGCCCTGTGCTTGGATAAATAAAGTTCCTCCCATATTTGAAGGGTGCAGCCTAGAAAGAGGACTAGAAATACATTGTCAGTCATTGCAAACACACACACACACACACACACACACACACACACACCAGAGAGAGAGAGAGAGAGAGAGAGAGAGAGAGAGAGAGAGAGAAAACTTCACTACAAAATATGGACATTCAAAAGAACAGAACACCTTGGCTGCTACACAGATGTTTAGGATGCCCACAGGTAAACTCTGAGACCTAACACAGGATGGCCTTACCCAGAGAGACCAGGTGGCTGTAGTTCTCCAGCATCACTTCCCTGTACAGGATCCTCTGAGCAGGACTCAACAGTTCCCATTCCACCTGGTTGAAGGCCACAGCCACGTCATGGAAAGCCATTAATGCCTATAACAAAAACACATTCCTGCTCATGAAAGAACCAGCCTAGTTAAAACCAGTTTAAGTCACTATCCGGGTCCAAGACGGTTACAATGCGGCAACCTGGTGCAACCACATGAAGTTTACAGGCCCTTTTACCCTGAATCTTGCTTTTGTATGTTGGAGAAAACTCCCTCCATGTGGATGCCAGGCCTGTACGTGGAACCCAGAAATGCAGGGTTTCCTATTCTGCCCTATTGATCTAGGCATATACAAGCCCTTCCAAACACCAGTTTTAATTATTGCAGCTGTATAGCAGGGCATGAAATCAAGAAGACTGAATCCTTCCAGTTTATTTTATCTTACTTTTATTTTATTTGAAGGGGTTCTGGCTATGCTGTCCACGCTAGCTCAACGTCCAACTCTCCCACCTCAGCTTCCCTAGTACTGGGATTAGACATGTACATACTGTTAATAAACTTCACTTAAAAAGTTACTTTAGCTATTTTTAAACACCCTGTGCCTTCCTATACAAGTTTTAGAGGAATCTTGTAAATACCTACAAACAACAACAAAAATTGTTGTAACTTTACCAGAATTTCTGTTTACCATATATCTTAGTTAGGGCTCCTATTGCTACAATGAAACACCATGCCCCAAAATCAAGATGTGTTTGTAGGAAAGCGTTTATTGGGCTCACACTTCCCCATTGTAGTCCATCACTGAAGGAAGCCGGGACAGGAACTCAAACAGGGCAGGAACCTGGATGGACGCAGAGGCCGTGGAAGGGTGCTGCTTACCGGCTTGCTCCACATTGCCTACCCAGACTACAGAACCCAGGCCCAACAGCTCAGGGGCAGCACCACCCACAATGGGCTAGGCCCTTGCCATCAATCACCAATCAAGAAAACGCTCCACTGGCTCTCCCACAGCCCTCCAATGGAGAAACTTTCTCAATCTAGGGTTCCTCCTCCCAGACAACTAGGGCTTGTGTCAAGTTGACACAAACCTAGCCAGCACACCATGTGCATCCACACGGTGAGAACTGACCTCTTTACTATGTCAAATTTTCCAGACCCCCACCCCCACCCCCCACCCCCGGCTCTGTGTGTATGTGTGTGCGTGTGTGTTATGATTTCTTTCACAAAATGTAATTTCCAGCATTATAATCCTACAAGGTAGCCAGTTGCAGTGGTCCACACCTTTAATCTCAGCGCTCAGGAGGCAGAGGCAGGTAGATCTCTGTTAGGTCAAGACCAACCTGGTCTACAAAAAAAGTTCCAGGACAGCTAGGGCTGTTACACAGAGAAACTGTCTCAAGAAACAAAACAAGCAAAAGGAGATCCTAAAAAGTTCTTAATTACACTTCAGAATTTCAGTATGTGTTGTGTGTGTGATCTTGACGACACTGAAGTTTGAAGGGATAGTCACTGCTGTGAGATACATGGTATATGATACAGCTGTTTGTGCGCAACCTGACCTAACTCACTCACTAGCCCTACAGAGTTTTTCTGCTAAATTCCCAGAGATTTTCTATAGGGACCATCATGTCCCAAGAGAGTATAAACAGTTTTAGTTCTTAGTTAATGATCTGTATGTTTTCACCTCTTTTTCCTTCCTTTTTTTTTCTCTATCTAGAACTTTTAGTATTACATTGAATGAGTGGAGAAAATAAACATTCTATACTTGTCCTCAGTCTTAATGAATTCAGTTTTTCAGCATTAACATGCAAACATTAGGATAGCTTTTATCAAAAATCAAGGAAACAGTCATGAAAGTGTATGGAGGAACTGAAACCTTGCACCGAGGACATAAAATGATAGCATTTCTATAGAAAATGGTTTGATAGTACAATTACCACACTATCCAGCAATTCCATCTGTGTGTCTACAGGCCCCCAAAAATCGAAAGCACAAACTAAGAACACTGCAGAACAATGTTCCTAATAGCATTGTTCACAGAAGCTGAAAGGTAGAAAACCCCAGCTGTCTATCAACTGATGATGAATGGAGACGTGAAGTGTGGTACACACAGACATTAAAAAGGAAATTCTGATGTGTGTTTTCTAGAATGAGCCTTGAAAATATTATGCCACGTGAAATATGCCTCGAACTCACAGAGATTGGCCTGCCTCGGCCTCCTGAGTGCTGGGATTAAAGGCGTGTGTCACGCTGCCTGGCCCCCAATAAATCTCTTGAGTGAGGTTTGTGGTAAAGACTTTCTTTCCCCGGAGCTGAGCAGAGCAAAGCAGAGATTAACAACTTTTGCCAGAGCAGAGCAGAGCTCTCACTGGAGTGGAGGAGAGTAAGTGTAACACTTTGGCTGCGGAAACTTTCCCTTGCTGGAGCAGAATTGTTACACTCTGGAGAAGCTGAGCAGAGCTGTAACATTTCTCCAGAGCACAGTGGAGCAGAACTGTGACAACCTCACTGAGGAACACACACACACACCCCGTTGGAGCAGAGTTATTATACTTGTATCAGAGAAACATTTCCTGGAGCAAGGACTGTAATACTTTGCTGGGGAAAGTATTCAGAGCTGTAGGTAATCCTTGGCTTCTGCCTGCTAGGATACCTTCCCCTGAGAGCTGTAGGTATTCCTTGGCTTTCAACTGTCAGGACACCTTTCCCTTCAGAGCTGTTAGGTATTCCTTGGTTTCCAATTGTCAGGACACCTTTCCCTTCAGAGCTGTTAGGTATTCCTTGGTTTCCAACTGTCAGGACACCTTTCCCTTCAGAGCTGTAACACTTACACTAACTCTAACCATCTTCTTTCTGTGGGAATGTTATTCAACTCTTGAGACTCTAACAAAATGCCTGAAAATTTTCTTTCTCGTGGTGCTAGAAAGCAACTGGAGTGCTGTGGAGGGCTTGGTCTGTTTCTAAGATGGTGTTTTCTATCCTCCACAGGGGACAAACACTGTCCTCAGAGGAAGACAAGACAAACAAGCAACAAAGGCCCAAATTAGTTCCCTTTAGGCCCATTACAATCTTACTCCTTTATACATGTTCTGCCCATGGCTTAATTGCCTCCCAAAGACCCTATCTTGTTTCAACATGTGGATCTTGAGGCAAATATTTAGATTACTGAAGTATTCCACTTTTTTAAGGTATTTGGATCAGGTGTCAAGAGAAGAGATAATTTTACTCCTTCCTTACCAACTTGGTAGGCTCACAGAGTAGTGATGGCTTCAGATAAGAAATCAGTTTAGTCACACTGATCTCTTGTGGGAAATGAATCACTTCTCACTTAACTGCTTCCACAGTTCTGTCTTTGGGTTGTAACAGTCTGAATATTAAAATCATGGTGTGGATTTTCTTTTTAACGTTTATCTTGTTTGGAGTTTGTTGGGCTTCTTAGATGTACAGATCTTCTTTCACAGACTTTCTAGAAATCGTTTCTTTGCCTCTTCCATGTATCTTTTCTTCTGTTTCCACTGTGTGCATCAGTACACCTTGTGGTGCCCCATGGCTCTGGTTTTTTATTTATTTATTTTGTCTTGCTTTCTTTGCTCTTTAGAATGGATATTCAGCTGAACTGTCTCCAGAGTCTTTTGTACATCTACCTAATAGGCTGCTGAACTCCTCTGATGTAATTTTCACATGAGTTATTATATTTTACTACTCTAGAATTTCTGTATTCTTTCCTTTTATAATTTTTCTTTACTGAATTCAATATTTGCTAAAACATTGTTGACTTCAATTCTTTTGGCTCTGTGTCTGTGGTTCCCTTAGCTCTGTGTGCTGAGTTTTCTCATGGTCACTTAGCAAGCAGACAACTTAAGGGTAGGTAGGCTTCTGTGGAATAATCCTGTTGTTCACTTTAAATATGTACTACTCTCATTGGTTAATAAAGAGCTGACTGGCCAATGGCCAGGCAGGATTTTCGGGGCAGAGAGAATGCTGGGAAGAAGGGTGGAGTCGGAGGAGATACCATGAGACTCAGAGCAAACAGGATGGGAAGTACCCACATGAGGTAAATGAGACTTGGGGCAGCACATAAATTAATAAAAATGGGTTAATTTAAGTTATAAGAGCTAGCTAAAAATAAGCCTAAGCTATCAGCCAAGCATTTATAATTAATAAGACGTCTCTGTGTGATTATTTAGAGAGCGGCTGGTGGCACAGAGAAACTCTGCCAATAGTAGGCAGCTGAAAATATCACAACACTCTCTTGCCACTAAGCATCAACTTTTTCCTTCAACAGTGTCTTCCAGTTTTGACTAGACTATCATTCTACTAAAGTTGGTTTTGACTGCTCATAGTCTGTCAGCTCATTGGTTGCTTGGTGGGAAGACCAGAAACCTGATTTCCCTCCTATGACACTTTTATTACACATTCTTTTTAACTGAATTATTTTATGTATATGAAATATCCACAAGTAAATCCATATAACACAAAGCACATTAGTAGTTGTCTTAGTCAGTGTTCTATTGCTGTGAAGAGACCTCATGACCATGGCAACTCTTATAAAGGAAAACATTTAATTGGGGCTGGCTTACAGTTTCAGAGGTTAGTCCATTATCATCATGAAGGGAAACATAGTGGCATGCAGGCAGACATGGTGCTGGAGAGGTAGCTGAGAGTTAGACATCTGGATCAGCAGGCAGCAGGAAGAAAGAGAGAGACACTAGGCCTGGCTTGAGCACTTGAAACCTCAAAGCCCACCCCCAGTGACACAATTCCTCCAATAAGCCACACCTACTTCAAAAAAACGCCACACATCCTAATGCCGATCAAGTAGTACTCCCTAATAATGAAACATTCAAATCTATGAGCCTATGGGGGCCACACCTATTCAAACCATGATAGTAGTTAACAGGAGCTGGGAGAAGAGAATATAGCATAGAATAACTCCTGAGCATAAAGGATTTCTTTTGGAAGTAATGAAAACATTTTGGCAGTGAAGGCTGTACAATCTGATACACATTAGTTGAAAATATACTAAAATCCACTGAAATGCATATTTCGTATGGGTAAACTTCACAGTATATAAATCATATCCAAATACATTTTTAAAGATATACTTATTTTACTTTCATGTGTATGGGTGTCTTGCATATGTGTATATCTGTGCACCACGTACATGCCTGGTGCAAATTCAGAAGAGGAAGTTACTGATGGTTGCAAATCATCATGCCAGGTCTTCAGCAAGACCAGCACATCTCTCAACCACAGAGCCATCTCTCTAGCCCTCATTTTTTAAATTTAAAATTCTAACGATGAGTATTCTAACCAAATGGGGAACTTTGTAGTAATGGAACCTGAACTATGGTTATTGTTGTTTGTAAAACATATTATAATTTGCAGCAGACTTAAAAAAAAACCTTAAGATTCAATGAAAGGCTATTAATTGATTTCTAATTAACTAGTATCCTATACCTACCAGCCCTTTAATGTTATAACTCAACTTTCAAGCAAAATTCTTCAAGTATCATGTTATGTATATACAGGTCAGATTTTCCTATGCAGTTCAGATCTGATACACAATAGAGTAACTGAAAATACAATTGTGGTTTCAAAAACCACTGTTGATCAAGAACACGTCTCTAGGGGCCATGTGTGGTTGCATACACTTAGGAGGCTTGGGAGGCAGAGGCAGGTACATCTCTGTGAATTTAAAAATAGTCTGGTCTACAAGTGAGTTCCAGGCCAGCAGGGTTGCATAGCGAGAGCCTGTCAAAAAGAAGATTTGACAAAAGAGGGGGGCACATAGCTCTTGGTTTCTTTCTAATAATATCAAAACCAATAATTTTCAACTTATCTAGGAATATGCAAATCAAATATTTGCCATCTGACCCCAGAAAAATGATAAGATCGCCAGGCGGTGGTGGCGCACACCTTTGATCCCAGCTCTCGGGAGGCAAAGGCAGGTGGATCTCTGTGAGTTCGAGGCCAGTCTGGTCTACAGAGCAAGATCCAGGACAGGTCCCATAACTACACAGAGAAACCCTGTATTGAAAAAAAAAAAAAAAAACCTCAAAAAATGATAATATCCAGATCTTCTCTCAAAAACATTTAATGCTTGATATATTTATAGCACAAAGCAAAACTCAATTAGCAAAAATGGCAATAAATATTTGTGTAGCTAATATATTAAACATAAAAGTGCTCCTTAGCAGCTGTTTGTTCAGCTGGTTGATACATATTAACTATCCTGAGTTACATCAAGCTGTTAGGTTGTCTAATCAGTACAGAATGATTTGTTGTTAAAGAAGCAGGTGATTCAGACCGTGTGTGTGTGTGTGTGTGTGTGTGTGTGTGTGTGTGTGCGCGCGTGTGTGTGTGCGTGTGTGTGTGTGTGTGTGTGTGTGTGTGTGTGTGTGTGTGTGTGTTCACGTACTTCATATGTATGGGGGTGCATGTGCATGCACATGGCAGCCAGAGAAAAACCTCAGCTGTCATTTCTCAAGCCCTGTCCACCTTGTTTCTTGAGACAAGGTCTGTCATTGGCCCAAGACTCATTAAATAAGCCAGGCTGCCTGGGCCGTGAGCCCCCGAAATCCGCCCACCTCTGCCTCCTCAGCACTGGGATGACAAGCATCCACCACCACACTTCAATTTTTTTTAACATTTATTTATGTGTGTGTGTGTGTGTGTGTGTGTGTGTGTGTGTGTGTGTGTGTGTACATGCATACCACAGCACATGTGGAGAGGTCAGAGGGCAACTTTCAGGACTTGGTTCTCTCCTTCTACCATGTAAATCACAGGGCTCAAACTCAGGTCATTGGCAGCAGGTATCTTTACCCACTGAGCAGCCATCTTGCCATCCCCTAGCCTTTTGTACGCATGTCTGTCTACTATGTATGTATGTGAGCATGGGTGCAGCTGCCCCAGGGAGGCCAGGAGAATGTGTCGGACTCCCCAGGGCTGGAGTTACAGCTGCCCTAGCCCTCAGTCTCTAGACCAGACTAGCCTTGAACTCAGAGACTCACTGGCCTCTGCCTCCTGAGTATTGGGATTAAAGGCGAACACCACCATACCTAGTTGCAGCTAAGGCTCTCAACTTCTGGGCCATCTCTCCAGCATTCCCTGACTCTTACTTTTTTTTTTTTAAATATGGGTTCTGAGGAATCAAACTCAGGTCCTCACACTTATAAGACAAGAATTTTATCAGCTGACCCATGACCCCAGTCCAATCCAGGCTTTTAAGCATCATCTTCCAATTTTTTAAGTATGGATGGTTCCTCTACTTAAAATGGTCCAACCTATACTCTTAATTTTACAGTAGTATAAAAGTTACACACATTCATTCAGCAGAAACTATTCTCTGAATTTTGATTTCTTCCTGAGCACACAATATAGCATTACATTTGTACAGTGCTAGTCAGTAGTAATAAAGTGCAGCTCCTAGTGAGCCACGTGATCACAAGGGTAAGTAACTGGTACTCTATGGTACCCTGTAAGGCTAAGCTCTTATGCCTGGTAGAGCAAGTGAATTAAATCCACTTTCTACTTACAGTACAGTCAAGTTACAATGGGCTTTTCAAGACATCATCCCACCATAAATCAAGGAGCGTGTATATAAAAAAAGCTCAAACACAAAGTATGGTGGCCACACAAGCAAAGTTACCCATGTGCCACACATAGACAGCAGGCATAGAATCTTTACCTCTACACAGAGAAACCAATGTATTCAAAGGCTACTGGCTAGTGTAAGCTTCCAACACAATAAAGGATGGCCTGTAGTCACTATGTCGGAGAAGGGCTAGACTCCCTGAGACATTCCTATAAGAATGTCTTCTCCCAACTCTCCAGTTTGCAAAATCCTTCAAAAGCCATCCTGAAGGCTGGGAAGGCAGCTGTTGATAAAGGGCTTACCTTGAAACCATACGCTCCTGAGCCTGATCCCCAGCACCCAGCCGAAAGCCAGGTACTGAAATCCCAGTGCTGGGAAGTGGAGATGAGATCCCTGGAGCTCACTAGCCAGCTAGCCTCGTCTAATCAGTAAGCCCAGGTTCCAGTGTGAGTCACCATCCCAAAAGAACAAAATGGATGACTCCTGAAGAATAACACCCAAGGTTGACTTCTTTCTGGCTTCCATGTCTTACACACACACATACACAGCCTTCATATACATCCTTTAGGCCTTGGGAATCATTGGGTTCCTAAGCCTAGACAACCTCTGTTGTTATGTTAGCCATGTGATGATCACAGTTAACTACTTAGTGAATGCTTTTGACGTGAATGAAGCAAAGGAATTTTATAGAAAGCTCCAGGAAGGACAGGTTAGACCTCCCAGATGTGGGTAGGCACTGCCTAACACCCACAGCAAGACTGCAGACAGGAATGGGCCATGAGAAATGGCAGGGCTTACCTTGTTTCTGGTTGTCAGGAGCCCTGGGGCCATCTCCCACTCTCCAGAACTCTCTCCCTAGAGAAGGGTCTACTTGCAGAGTCCAATCTGAGAAACAAGAAAAAAGGTGTAAGGCACTTAGGAAGAAGGCCCTTCCTATCCCAGTCTCCTGATTCAGTAGGAGGTGGAGACAGGGTAGAGGTGAGGTGGGCAGGCTGACAGAGAGCATCTCTGCAGCCCATTCTTAACTGATCTGAGCCCCCAGATCTGAGCCAGTCACGAGATCAAACCCCATCTCTGGCTGAGTAATGGAAGAAGTCGAGGGCAATCTTCTCCCAATCACAGACAGAAAAAAATCATTCCTTGCATGAGGTATGTGACCTGGATTGGGTCCTGGCCTCCACACTTGAGTAAGAAAGGAGACAACAAGGGAGAGTTAAATATAAACAGGGCATGAGATAATGTTAGAAAACTGTAAATATCATTTAGGTGTGATCATGACATTTGGGGATATGGACGAAAATGACAGAACCAGAAGCTCTGAATGATGAATTGATATTTATAGTTACTGTTAAATAAGATGCCCTCGACAAATAAAAGTATTAAAATAGTGGGGGGGAAGCTCTTCGTGGAATAAAAAAAAGTACTTAAAAGACATGTCAACCAAAAGTAACATGTGAACCTTACAGAGAATTATTCTAAGTAGTCAGTGAAAAAAGAACTCTGACTTATTCTACAGATGGCATGATTGTGGAGAAAAATCCCACAAAATCAACAACAAACTCCTAAAGCAAGTTATTTTAACCCGTAGACACAAAGTTCATAATAAAATATCACTTCCCTATACAGTAGCACCAAACCACTGGAATTTGCTATGAAAACAGCACAACGTTTAGAACAACATCCAAACAAAGTAATATTAATATAATTTTTTAATTATGATGGCTATGAGGAAAACTACAAGACTTTGTGGAAAGAAATGAAAGATCAAAGTGAATGAAGACATATTCCATATAATAAGCAGGAAAAGTCAACATGTTTAAGGTGTCAGCTCTCCCCAACCTTGGCTATAGATACAAAGACATCTCCATCAAAATTCTAAAAAGTCTAAAATTCATACAAAAAGACAGGAAAGTTAATATGACACTGAGGAACACACCAAACCCCGCCAGAGGTCACAACTCACAAAGCAGTAACCAGGACAACGTAGTGTTTGGGGATGGGGGAAGCAAACTTAGAGACATAGCCCCATAAACTGAGTCAAACAAGCTCTGTTACAAGCAGTCTGAACTGTTCTGATGAAGATGGTGAGTGTTGTGCTCAGGGGAGAGCGTTCTACAACATCCTTGTTCAAAGTGACTCTGAAGAGACAAACCAGAACCCGGACTTGAATGGGGAGTGCAGTAGTAGCTAGACTCACAGACAGGCTGTGGCACAGGGCTCCAGAAAAGAGCCAATTCCAAAGAAATCCATACTTTGAGGTGAGGACTGGGAGCAGGACAGTTCATTTACAAGTGATAAATCTAGGTTCTGAATCCACGGACTTTAGAGCTGTTATACTTCTGGAAATGATTGCAATGTCTTCATATTGTAAAGTTAAAAATAATAAATCCTGGAAGAGAAGGATAAATAACACTAAAGGTCTTTTGAAAAACGCATGTGGAAAACCTACTACCATAGATGCCTTAGTATCTCTCTAGATAGATAGGTAGATAGACAGACAGACAGAGAGATGATAAATAGAAATATATAGTGTGTGTCAAAAAAAATGGAGTTTCCTATAACAATATCACTAGCTACCACAGATGAATAAATTAAAAGTCTTTTGGAGTTGTTAGCCCCAAAGACACCCCCCAAACATTACAGGTATTGTCACTGCTCTTGGTGACCCTCCAAACCTTGATGAGAAGACCCTACTACTGAAGACACCACATATTTGAGTCATAGAACATGAAGAAACCAAGCTGGTACTGACCTGGAAGCTTCACCTCTCTTCTAGTTTTCAGCTGCCAAAAGATGCTATGCATGCTACCAGAGTGAAAAAGTAATCCTCAATCGGACCTAACTACGAGCCCTGCAAACTACAATAATGACTGTCCTGGCAAGATACGCAGATACGTCCACTGGTGCGATAGTGGCAAAGCCATCGTGGGAGTAACCAACCACATTGTGCTTGGATTTAAGTGTCACTCCAAAAGATGAAAACTATACCGGTTACCAGGACAAAAACCTATCTAGACATGCAATAGTTCCTAGAGGATTCCCTACTGCTATGATTTTGCTAAATGGACATACTATTAAGCCAACTCCTGATGACTTACTGGCTTACCCATAGATTAATGCATCTCTCTCCACCCTCATTTGAGACACTTCTATTTGCAATAGATAATGACTAACACAGAGACCCACAACTGGCCAAGGTGAAGAGAATTAGAAACTGCGGACTGTTCAGCCCTAATGGGAATCACAAACCCTGCAGCCCAGGCTCAGGAATCCTTGAGGAAGAGGGAGCAGAAAGCATGAGAGCCAGAGGTGGAGGGGGACCATAAGGAAACAATGACTTCTGGCCACAACAGGGCGGCTGTACATAGGAACTCACTGCAGTTACAATGCCATGCACAGCACCTGTGCAAGCCCAAGCCAGAGCAAACCACAGCATGGAGACGGGAGTTCGGTACCAAATCCCACCCCTAGTATGGAGCTACTGGCAATTATTAGCTGCTGGAAGAGGAAGAGACAGTTTCCTCTATGAGTATCTATAGCTCCTGGTAAGCCAATCACATTTCAGTGAAATATTCAAGACTATTTGGGCAACACAAATCAGTCTTGATGGATTTTAAAACAAGAAAGACCGCCGGGCGGTGGTGGCGCACGCCTTTAATCCCAGCACTCGGGAGGCAGAGCCAGGCGGATCTCTGTGAGTTCGAGGCCAGCCTGGGCTACCAAGTGAGTTCCAGGAAAGGCGCAAAGCTACACAGAGAAACCCTGTCTCGAAAAACCAAAAAAAAAAAAAAAAAAAAAAACAAGAAAGAAAAAAGTCTGCAAGGATGGGTGGGTAGAGAAAGCAAATGGATCTGGGAAGAATTTGGGGTGGTGAACATGATCAAAATGAGTTGTACGGATCACTTAAAGAGCTAAAGAAAAAGCAAAGACCTGGCCACATCTCCAGGATCAAGGAGTCAGCCAACAAGTCCTGGGCCATGGGGGAAAATCCTCCCCTGGCTGCACTTCAGGCTCTTGGAAGACCCCAAACTCAAGAGAGCCACACAAGGTCAGAAGCCCACAACATGTACAAGGACCAACCCCCCAAGACACACACACACACACACACACACACACACACACACACACACACACACACAAGCCTTGGCACACACCAGGGCTCCAGGATTCAACAATGGCCCCAGGCTCCTGGTCTTTGTCGGTCCCTTCAATCAGGCAATTTTGTATGTTTTTCCCAAAGGCAATCCTCAGGCATGAACCTGGGTCCTAGTGAGCAAGATGTATTTCCAAATTTATGGTGAGCGCAGCTCCTCAGGACTAATACCCAAGACTCTCGTCCTCACCAGTTCAGGTGTTTGTTCCTGTAGAGGATAGCTACCGTCCCTCACCTCTCAATCTCAGTGGCGAGTGGGAGTAGAGTAGAGACATCTGGATGCCCCAGATCCAGTCTCCCAGACAGCGCCCAAATGCAGGGGACACACCTACAGCCTAGCCTGGGAAGCAGATCTTGGGCCAGGCCAACCTGCAGCTTGTCTAGAACAAGGTACTGGATCCCACATCCCAGCCCCACATGGCCCCCTCCCCACCCGAGGGTCTTCACCGAGACCCTCCTCTGAGATGGGCAGTGCAGCTGATTCCACTCCGGAAGACTCCACGCATCCAGGACCGAGCAGCCGCTGAAGCCTGAACCTTGTGAGTGGCCCACGCCTGCAATCCGGACTCTTCTGGAAGGATCCGCAGGAGCCGGGGTCGTCCTGCTCGCTGGCCACAACCGCTGGAGGACAGTCCACAGGCACAGGTGACGACTGCAGGATGCGGAAGTACACCGGCCGGGATGACGCGCGCGCGCGCGCACTACACGACCCACGCAGCTCTAGAGATGGGGAAACTACAATACCCAGAATGCTGCGTGCAGCAGGACTCTTCAAGCTGGCTCCGAGGCTGCACCTGGAGTCACACTACTGGAGGGGCTCGCTACCACCAGCAGGACTCTTTCCCTGGCTGCAGGACGACCCGGTAGGATCTTGGAGAAACTGAAAAATCAGAAAAGCCAAACTGAAGTAACCTTCAGGTACTTAAGGAGGCCCATTAATCAATTTTTAAAAAGATGTGTTATCTAGATGCCTTCATCCCGCCGACTCACCATTTTTTTTACACGTCCGTTTTAAAAGACATCTTGTGTTTTAAACTGCAGCTTGTATGGATTTACTTTTTGAAATGCCAAAAATGCTGAGGAGGTTGTTTCTTGAAAATAATTCTAATTTTTTTAATGATTACAAGAACACAAGGACAAACTAAGTTTGAAAACATTTAAAGCTGTAATGTTTTAAATTATTTTACTAATACAAAAACCACTTATTGGTAGTAACAGAAATCAATAAAATCTTTGCAAAAAGACTAGGAATTTGAGTTGAACTGAATTTAATTTGGGGGAATTTGATATGAAATACAAATTATTTCCTATTTGCTTCTTAAAGTGAAGTAACACATAGCTGAAGTAATAGGGACCAGATTCAGTCTTCCACATAAATCAACTTTAAAAAGACAAAATGTGTTCAACAATAGATGTGAAAGCGTCGCACATGGAACAATGAAGGGAAGTCGGCACTGTGATAATAAAGGAAGTGTGCAGTGAACTTCCCTGGTGGAGAATATTTCCTGGTCGGAGAACAGAGAAGGCAGGGCCTGGAGGACAATTTGAGATGAAGCCAGAATACTGGGGGAACCAAAGCAGCGTGAGTTGAAACGACAGTACAAAGAAACGGAGAGCCAGAGATGGGCGGAGGCTCCTCTTCCGACTGCATCCACTACACACAGACAGCACGTGACACAAAGTTGCACTGTCCAGGAGAAAAACACCGGAAAATGTTAAAAGGGGTGCGGGGGGGGGGGGGGGGGTAAGGAATAATACCTATTCCTATGAAACAATGAAACCTTCATAATTTTACATAATATCTGGAAAGGGATTCACCTCAATAGTGAGACAAATTGGGCCTCAGAGCCTTTCTTGTTTCAGTTAAGAAAGCTCAAAAGTAGGCCTAGAAGAGATCAAATTGTTTATAAGTAACTTCATTTTATTTTTAAAAGCTCAAGAATGCTCAAAATACATAACTATGCCACACTCAATAAGGTAAAAATTAGAATATCAAATTTTGGATTAAAAGATGTCACACAAATAAAATAGGAATATATTGCTATGATAAAGGAAAAAATAAAATCAATAAAAATAATATTAAGAAATAGGGAAGGAGCTGGAGATATAGCATAACAGTTAAGAGCACTTGAGACTCTTGCAGGGGATCCAGGTTCAGTTTTCAGCGTACACATGGCACCTCATTACTGTCTATTATTTCAATTTCAAGAGACCAGATGTGTCAGGGACAAGGACAGAATCTCTAGTTAGTGGAAAAATACAGACACCCCCCCCCCCTATAAGACAGGGAAATAGATCATCTTACCTCAGGTTGCCTAGCAACAGGACATTGAGTCAGAGCCCTTGACCTTTTCACCCTGTAAACATCCTATACAAACATCCTGTTAGCTTGCCCTACCCTATGCAGATGACAGCTTCTTGCTCCCCGCACCCGGCAGGAACTATATAAACCCTCCTGGAGAAAAATAAAGTTGCACCTTGATCAGAATCTTGTCTTGGTATATCTTCTTTGTGTCTCCTGTCCCTATCATTCCGTCCTTAGGGTGGTGGAGTTCCCATTGAAGCCCTGCTGGCCGGGGCACAGATGCTCTCTTCTGGCCTCTGCAGACACTGCATGCACATGGGACACATAATTCAGGCAAAACACTGATATACATTAAATAAAAATAAATAACATCTTGGGGGCGTGGCTGGGGAGATGCGCTCAGTGGGTAATGTGCATGGCACTCAGCCATGAAGATCTGGATTTGGATGCTCAACACCTGCTTCAATTTTTGTTGTTGTTTTGTTTTGTATTTTGAGACAGGGTCTATGTACCCCTGACTGTCCCTGAACTCACTATGTAGTCCAGGCTGACCTTGAACTCACAGAGATCCATCTGCCCCTGCCTCCCAAGGGCTGGGATTAAAGGTGTGTGCCACCATGCAATTTATATGATGGAGAGTGACAGAAGACACCCGATGTCAGCCTCTAACCTCCACACACATGCACATGTGCAAACACATATGTACACACATCACACACACACATGTAAAAAGAGGAAGAGAGATGAGGAGAGTAAGCCCAGAATGGAGATCAGCAATTGGGAGCCAGCGGAGCAGCCCAGGTGTCTGCCCACTGATCCAGGACACCTCCAGAAGCTGGTGTCCAAGACAATCTAGTTGTCTTGTCAGTCTCTAAAGACACCTAAGACGTTTCTGTCCTGAAATTGCTATAATGCCCTTCAGTTCAAATGCTTTCACAGGCGTGTGTATACTGGAACAGAAAAATAGTAAATGTATGATGCTCCAGAGGCAGTGGGGCCTGGGAGAATGGAGCCACTAAATGAGGCGGGCTACAGTCTCATGCAAAGCCAACTTTATTCAGAGCATCAGACAGTTTATCACGAGGGTTAAGAGAGGTAGCCTGAGTAAAGTTCTCATGAGTTCTAGCTGTATACAATCACTAGGACAAGTCACATGTGCAAAACATGTTTTTCCATAGAGGCATATAAACATTTAATTGAATAACACCAGCAAGAAAGAATGAGTAATCTGAAGTAATCTCACTCCTGTCTGCTACACCTGGGAGAAACACAAAAACACAGTCCAGGAACTATTCCATGTTTTGAAGAAACTGAGGTCACAAGATTCATGTTTCTTTCAAGTTTTCTCACAAGCACCCAGAATCCTCACCTGACTCCATTCTTGGACCGTGTGCTGATGATGTGTACAGCTGGTGGAAAATATATGTTTCACTGATGAAGAAGAAGGTTATTGATAAGCAAGGGAGGAAAGATGCAGTCAGGATGTGTTACTAGAGTATAATGAGACATATCAATATGCATTCCGGTTTATTCTAACAAAGATACAGATGGATATAGACACATAGATATCTGGTACACGTGGGTTAGGATGCTCAAATATGTTTCCTAGCTCATCTGAAAGAATCCAGAAACAATTATAGCTCAGTAGCAGTAAGCAAAGCTGCCCATATCTGGTTCCTAAGCCATTCTTTAATGTAGGAATCAGCTCCCTGTATGTATAGCTGCTGCTGGAGATACACAGGAAATAGACAGTGTGAGCTTAGATTATCTCATAGTGCCAGATAGGAAGTGTTCAAAAACAAACTGATCCAGAAACCAACTGGAAAATTTCACAGCAATCAAGTCCTTAACAATGTTTTTGAGAAAAAAAAAAAAAAACAGCTGGGCATTGTTGGTGCACACCTTTAATCCCAGTACCTGGGAGCCAAAGGCAGGCAGATCTCTGAGTTCAAGGCCAGCCTGGTCTACAGAGAAAGTTCCAGGACAGCCATGGCTGCACAGAGAAGCCCTGTCTGAAAAACCAACCAACAAACAAAAACAGAGCATTGGGTTGAAACCTGAAGTATAAATAACCAGTGAGTCCATATTAGTGTAAATTAAATAAATAAATGAATGCGAGAAAACATGCAAACTTCCTAAACAAAAGAATTCCAAGTAATTTGTGTAGACATTCCATCCTGAAGAAAGTAAAGCACTAGGGAGGCAGAGGCAGGAGGATCTTCTTAAATTCAAGGCCAATCTGAACCACAGAATAAGACCCCATCTCAAAAAAAAAAAAAAAGTTTTTTTCTAGTATCTTTTTCTGCATTTGTTGAGGTTGGTTTTTTTTTATTTGATTTTATGTGTATGTTTTGCCTGCATGTATGTCTGTGCACTATGTGTATACAGTGCTCATGGAAGCCAGAAAAGGGTGTTGAATACCCTTAGAACTGAATTTGTAGGAGGTTTGTGCTACTATGTGGGTGCTGAGAATCAAACTCAGGTCCTCTGAAAAGCAGCCAGTGCTCTTAACTGCTGAGCCATCTCTCCAGCGCTCTACATTGGTTTTAAAGTCAGTTTTCAATGGGATGGGGCAGGGGATAGGGCTGGAGAGATGGCTCAGATGCTAAGTGCATGCTCCTGCAGAGGACTGGAGTTTGGTTCCCAGCTCCAAATAAGGCTTTTCACCGCAGTTCCAGGAGATCCAAC